TCCGAGGTGGATGAAATAAGGACCCGGATTGTTGGGGGCGATATGCTGACTCTGTAAACGGCTTAGAGAGGGCTGAAAGCCCTATGAAGCGGTATATAAGTCTAACTGCTATTGCTATTGCTAATGCAGTCCCTGAATTCGCTCAGTTTCCTTGATTTGCAATAAACACTAAACTCCCGCCAAAGAAGTGTTTGAAATAACATTTTAAAATCCCAAATGCCTCTAGGACCAAGCAAAAAAAAAAAAAGCTTTGAATGGGATCGCAACGTCATAATAAAAAGAAAACGACGATATTTCAGGCATGCAACCTGTTCTTCCCAAAAGAGACATTCAGGAGTCACCCTTTCGTAAGCGGCTAACTAAGAAAAATACAGGTCATCCTTGGCTTACGACCCCCAGTTGAGCCCAGAATTTATGTGGCTAAGTGAGAAGTGTGTGGTCAGTTTTGCCTGATGTCGCGACTTTCCTTGCCACATTTGTCAAGCGAATCACCGCAGCTGTTAAATTAGTAACACGAATCTGTGACTTTGCTTGCCGGAAGATGGCAGAATAGAATCATGTGAGCCCGGGACACTGCAACCGTCGTAAGTATGAACCGGTTGTCAAGCATTGAATGCAAACCACGTGACCGTGGGAGACGCTGCAACTGTCATAAGTGTGAAAAATGGTCATAAGCCCCCTTTTTTTCAGTGCCGTTTGAACGTCCACTAAAAGAACTCGTATAAGTCAAGGACTCCGTGTATCAGCTCAGAAACACTGAGCCTTCCTTCTCAAGTCCCAGGCTTATATCCTCTGTCAGAAGGGGGGGGGGGGAGCCGAACTGGTTCAAAAGAAGAGGACCAAACTAAGCCTTTAAGCCCGTAATGGCGAACCTACAGCATACGTGTCACGGGGGGCAAGCGGTGCCATCTCTGCGGGCAGGCGAGCTGTCGCCCAGGTTTATTTTATATTAATTGCCTCCCGCCAGCCAGCTGAGTTTTGGGTCAGACACGCGCATTCACAGGGGTGGGGGGGCTCACGCACGGATGTGCGGGGGGCCACTCCCCGTTTTGGTGCTAGCAGGCCTCCCTGAAGCCAACTGGGACCAAAAAATGGGAAGTAGGGAGCACCACGCGTCCCATTGATGGTCTCGGGAGGCTTCAGGGAGGCCTGCTAGCACCAGAACGGGGGTGTGCACACCTGCATGGGGGGGGAGCACTTGGGTGTCGTACGTGCATTCATGGGGGTGGGGCCTGCGGGGGGGCATTGGATTATGGGTGTCGGCACACATAAACGCACTTCTGGCACCTGAGGCAATAAAGGTTCACCATCACTCTAAGAACTCTAAACCAGCTCCATGGAGGTCTCCGGAGACTCACCAGCCCTCCCCTGACGTGAGTCCCCTGCCTATCAATGCTCATCATTCGTTCCAATGCCAGTGGACAGAACTGCCAATTACCTCCCAAAGACCCATTAGATCACACAGGGTCGGCCTCCTCCCGGTTCCGTCTACCAGCCAATGCCACCTGGCTATTACCCGGGGGGAGGGCCTTCTCTGTGGCAGCTCCGGCCCTCTGGAACGAACTCCCCGCAGGGATTCGGAACCTCACCTCTCTTCAGGCCTTCCGAAAAGCCGTCAAAACCTGGCTTTGCCGGCTGGCCTGGGGTTGATGAGTTCCCCTCCCCTCTCGACATGTGGTTGTGTGATTCTTGCCTATTTA